TCGGGGTGGGGGGAACCACTCCACTGCCTTTCGAGAGTTTTAATTAGGCGAGCAATAAAAAAGACACAGAATTTAATTTAAAAATGGAGTAAAACGGGTGCTCTAGCCTTGGTTGGTAGCCGCTGTAATAGAACAAAATCTGTGAATTCAAGACTGAGGGAATGGCAGGGAAGATCAGCCCTACTATCTTTCCGAAAAATCACGCCAGTACATAGGTAATTTAAAATTATTTGTTTGTGGAAAGCCATGACCGTCCATGTGTAGAAAGGACATGCAATTATTTTTTTTTCTTCGGGTATTAAAAGAATAAAAGGTGACACCGAATCCGAACATTCTTCTAAATGCTAGAACTCAATTTTAGGCCTAAATTGGATATTCAGATTAAATCGGATTTTCAGACCAAATCGGATTTTGAGATCAAATCAGATTTCCAGACCAAATCGGACTTTCAGACCAAATCTATTTTTCAGGCCAAATCGATTTTTCAGACCAAATCGGTTTTTCAGACCAAATCGGATTTTCAGACCAAATCGGTTTTTCAGACCAAATCGGATTTTCAGACCAAATCGGATTTTTAGATCAAATCGGACTTTCAGACCAAATCTATTTTTCAGGCCACATCGCTTTTTCAGACCAAATCGGTTTTTCAGACCAAATCGGTTTTTCAGACCAAATCGGTTTTTCAGACCAAATCGGATTTTCAGACCAAATCGGACTTTCAGACCAAATCGGATTTTTAGATCAAATCGGACTTTCAGACCAAATCTATTTTTCAGGCCAAATCGATTTTTCAGACCAAATCTATTTTTCAGGCCAAATCTGTTTTTCAGACCAAATCGGATTTTCAGACCAAATCCGACTTTCAGACCAAATTTGTTTTTCAGACCAAATCGGTTTTTTAAACCAAATGATTCTTTTGAGTGCAATTGGACTTATAGCCCGAATTACAGTTAAAATGACGTTCTGAAGTTCCACTGAATCAACTGAGAAATTAAAATCGTAATTTTTGTCTTATTAATTTGATGGATATTTTTTTTTCATTTTTATGCTTGTTTTTTAGCGAATCTTTGGAGGTGGTTATTTTTTTTTATCTAATTTTTCTTGTGTTCTTATAATTTTCTTCTTTTCTGGACATAAATTATATAGAAACTGTCCGAATTCTGTATGTCTGAACGCTTTCGTCTCCATCATCAAGGAAGATTTTATTTTTACTTTTAACTAAATTTGCTGACCGTGTTTGGAAAATAAAACATTTCTATAACTTTAGATACATACATAAAAAAAATCATACATTCAGTTAAAAGTAAAAATAAAACCCTCCTTGATAATGGTTAAAAGTATAGCCAAAAGCACTCAGTCACTCAAGAAAGTGCTGAGAAACATAAATATTTCGCTCGAAACAAAGAAAAGAATGCAGAATTGCTATGTGATCTCCATCCAATGGTGTAGCAGTAAATGCTGGACAATCACCCACAAATGATGAGAAAATGTGAGTTTATAGAAGGATACTGGGAATTTCATGGACAGGGCGTATCATCAACGTGGAAATCTTAATTTAAAATGGCAACAAAAAGAACAGTTCTACTCAGAAACAGGAAGAGACAACAGAAATTCCTTGGAGGAACGCTTGGAAAACTTAACCGTCACAAAAAAATATAGGGGGTTGTAAGAAGGATTGGGAAAGGCGGAGAGAAACTTCTGACGAGTTTTTTTTTTATGAATAGATGGTGTAACGGGGTACGGGTATCTTAGCAAAGGAGAAAACTGCGAAAGGCCAGACGAGATAGGAAGTTGTGGAGGACCAATATCACCCATGTCCTAAAGAGCCGTGCAACATAGAAAAAATGTGTTTGTTCCTTTATTATTAAAGATCAGATTCAATAATGGCTTGAAAAGGCAGATTATCCGTGCAGATAGACTGGCGCTACATAATCGTCTTATATTTATTCTTACTATAGCATGGTAAGCTAAGTAAATATCAACTGCTTGGTGTGAAATAATATTTACGTATATGCAATCGGTGTTAAATTGATTGATTTGTTTTTTTATGGGTTATCAACCCATTGCAGGTTATTTAATGTCAGAAGATATTTTTAGATTGTAAGAATATTTATTTTATATATATATATATATATATATATATATATATATATAATGGTTTAGTGATACAAGTCATAGTATATTACCCATAGATGGGGGGAAAAGAGGTGGATTCATACTTTTTCCGAAAGATCAAACGGGGATTGGAACTCGGCTCTCCAATTTATAATTCCGAACCATTAACCATAATACCATCCGAATATTTTGTTTTGAGAACCTGGTATACATAAGCAGTCACCCATCTAAGTACCGACCAGGCTCCACGTTACTTAACTTCGAAAATCGTACGGGAACCGGAGTTTTTATGCTATGGGACTGCATGGCTCGGTGTTAGATAACGATGTTCAAAAGCATGGAAAAAAGCAAGGATTTCGAATTCTGGTTTTAAAAGTTGATATTCTCGACATAGTTGATTAGTAAAACACGTCTGTTTTAATTCATATGACATAGCGTTTTAGAAGACACGGTGGAGTAATGGATAGCGACTTGGATTGAGGAATCGAAGAGCGGAGTTCGAATTCCAGTCGAATCCATTACATTCACTTACGTGCCAATACCCTTGGGAAAGGTATGAATCCTCTTATTCTCCCCCCAGCTACGGGTAAATAGCAGGACAGACTGGGTTCTATAGCCTTGGATGGCAATTGGTCTAGGAGAAGGAAAACTCTGAATTCAAATCTGCGGAGGGCCGTTTGGGGACCTTGTGTCAGGTAGTGCACCAGGTACCTGTAATCGACCCTTCAAAAAGTGTGGATGGTTATGCACAAATCCAATAGAAACCTTTAATCAAATCATATGTGCCGGTGTCTGGATGTCAGTTTTAATGTTTTAAAAAAAATATTCATTATTATTATTGTTTACGTAAAAAGCATTGTAACATAGCACAAATAGGGAGTAGTAGCGGCTCGGATTAAGGAATCGGAGAGCCGAGTTCGAATTCCAGTCGATGGGAAAGGTATGAATCCTCTCATTCTCCCCACAGCTTTGGGTAAATAGCAGGACCGAACGGATTGCAACTGGTCCACCGCAGAAGGAAATGGCAACCTACTGTTAAAAAAAAAATCTGCCTCGTCAGTCATGTATCGGAAGATACATGATCGGCTAAGCGTGTATCAAGCATGGCACATAACTGACTGACTGACTCTTGGGAAAGGTATGAATCCTCTTCTTCTCCCCCAGTTATGGGTAAATAACAGGACAGACCGGATGGCAACTAGTCTACCGCGGAAAGAAATGGCAACCTACTGCGGTAAAATAAATCTGCCTCGTCAGTCATGTATCGAAAGATACATGATCGACTAAGCGTGTTTCACGCATGGCACATAACTGACTGACCTTTGGGAAAGGTATGAATCATCTCCTCCCCATTCCAGCTATGGGTAAATATCAGGACAGACCGGGTTCTATAGCCTTGGATGGCAACTAGTCTACCGCGGAAAGAAATGGCAACCTCCTGCGGGAAAATAAATCTGCCTCGTCAGTCATGTATCGGAAGATACATGACCGCCTAAGCGTGTTTCACGCATGTAACATAACTGAATGACTTCCGTTTTGGCATTGTATGTAAAGGAAATATTAAGACAATCCAGACGAAATTTGTTATGTCTGTTCATTGAACGACATTACGAGATATATCGAATGGAGACGAATATTCCATGTGGAATGTTGACAGTATCTGTTGTTGAATTTTGGGGGAAAGAAACATAAAATTCAAGATGTAGAAAAAGATAAACAATATATTTTTTTAAGTATTAGGTTTTATATAAATCTGTTTCTGCTTTTGGAAAATATCCTGTATCTTCTATTAACGCAATATTTTATCCTTTATATAATTGAAGTCTCATCCTGTCTCCTCGAATTGGAGGAACAATGCGGGTGAGAAGGAAAACACGGAGAAATGCGATTTTCCCGCTTTTTTTTTCTTTCATTCGCTCGCTCTTATTGTTTTTTTTTTTTGTTAAACCTGTTCTTTTACCTTTCCTTTCTTTCGTTTTCTTCTTCCATTCATTTTTTCTGTCTTTACTTCTTTCTTTCCACCTTCCTTTCTTTTTTTATTTTTCTATCGTCTTTCGTTCATCCATTCTTTCTTGTTTTCTTTCTTTCTCTTTCTTTTTGTATCGCACATCGTCTTTCATTCATTTTTTCTTCTTTTCTTTTCTTTTTCTTTCTCTTCTTATTCATTATTTCTTTATTTCTTTTCTTTATTCATTCGTTTCTTTCTTTTCCTTTCCTTTATTACTATATCTTCCATCTTTCTTTTTTTTTATTTTCTTTCTTCGTTCTCATTTTGATTTCCCTCTCTCTTTTCCCTCCTTTCAATTTTCTCTTTCTTTCAACTCTTCTGTCTTCTTTACTTTTTTTCTTTCTCTGATTCTACTTTATTTTCATCCTTACTTTCTTTCCTTTTTTGATTTCTTTGTCATCCATTGCATTCGCTCCCTCCCACCCCTAAGAGACCCTTAACTCATTTATTATAGCTGGATGTAAACATCATTCTTCAAATTCTTGTCCTCTCTGCGCATGACCGACTGGAAAACAACCTGGGAAAGGAGACGTGGTGCAGAATGCCTCTAACATGACCACGGATGCAACGAGGACAATAATAACATTAGCGCCGGCAACAACAACAACAGAAGCAGCAGCAGCAGCAGCTAGAGTGACAACAACAATACAAACAACAGGAGCAACAGCAAATAATAATATTGATAATAATAATAACAGCAATTCAAAAAGAAGGAAGGGAAAAGTAGAAAAATGTGATAAAACAAAGAAATATTACAAAAATTCGTAGAAAAAAAAAACACGACGTATAAAAAGTAAATGTCCGCTTTTATTCATCGACAAAATATTTTGTTTGTAAATCCTATGAGTTTTGTTTTTTTCATTTTTAATAATGCTTATTACATGAATATATTTTCTGTCAATAAAGCAGGCTTTCTTTCTACTCTGGATAGATAGATAGATAGATAGATAGATAGATAGATAGATAGATATGAAGAGGGTGAAAAGGATAGATAGATAGATAGATAGATAGATAGATGAATAGATAGATAGATAGATAGATAGATATGAACAGGATGAGATAGATGGTAGATGAATATAAATAGCATGCGATAGATAGATAGATAGATAGATAGATATGAATACGATGAGATAGATAGATAGATAGATACGAAGAGGGTGAAAAGGATAGATACATAGATAGATAGATAGATAGATAGATAGATAGATAGATAGATAGATAGATAGATAGATATGAATACGATGAGATAGATAGATAGATAGATAGATACGAAGAGGGTGAAAAGGATAGATAGATAGATAGATAGATAGATAGATAGATAGATATGAACAGGATGAGATAGATAGGTAGATAGATATAAATAGCATGCGATAGTTAGATAGATCGATCGATAGATAGATATGAATAGGATGAGATAGATAGATAGATAGATAGATAGATAGATAGATACGAACAGGCCAAAATAGATAGATAGATAGATAGATAGATAGATAGATAGATAGATAGATATGAATAGGATGAGAGATAGATATGAATAGGATGAGATAGATAGATAGATAGATAGATAGATAGATAGATAGATATGAATAGGATGAGAGATAGATGAATAGGATGAGATAGATAGATAGATAGATAGATAGATAGATAGATAGATAGATAGATAGATAGATATGAAGAGGGTGAAAAGGATAGATAGATAGATAGATAGATAGATAGATAGATATAAATAGGATGAGATAGATATGAATAGGATGAGATAGATAGATAGATAGATAGATAGATAGATAGATAGATATGAAGAGGGTGAAAAGGATAGATAGATAGATAGATAGATAGATATGAAGAGGATGAGATAGATAGGTAGATATAAATAGCATGCGATAGATAGATAGATAGATAGATAGATAGGATTCATGGATTGAATAGGATCTTTTCTAATTGATCTCATTGAAACGATGATCCCTTTTCCTGTTGTGACGAAATGATGCAGTTTTCCTCTCTACTGTTCTTTCTTCCTTAAACTTATTCACCGTTCGCTTGATGGTTCTTGAATGGATTTTGAAGATGCGAAACAGAGTATAATTGTTGGTATCATTACTGAAGGCCAGAATGTTCATTTTCCTCTCACCATTGCTCATTCGGGGAAACAGTAAAAGAGAGTTATAAGCATAGATAGATAGATAGATAGATAGATAGATAGATAGATATGAAGAGAGCGAAAAGGATAGATAGATAGATAGATAGATAGATAGATATGAAGACAGTGAAAAGGATAGATATTTGAAGACAATAGCGATTTTATTGAATGAATTCACAACTAAAAAATATATATTTTTGTGTAATTTTAGTAAATCTACTGCTATATAAATGTTATTTTCATTTTTACGTAACTTAAATGACATTTTATCCATTGCACCCTGTATATAGATTTGAACAGAGGGAAAAGAATAGATAGATAGATACACTACTTAAATTATTCAGACTATTGTCCTCATCTTTATTGTCATATTTATCACAACGTTCTACGCTCCGGCCTTCTTCAGGCGGTTCGAATGTCGCTCACTGGGGTAGACTGTTCAAGATTCATATGCCATGTTTAATTGATATCAGTTATCAGCTATCTCCTGTTAATTACCCTCTCCAAGTTCTCCACTGCCTTAACCAGGTATTGAACTCACACACTTTGGGTCCTGTCACTGGATCAAACCAACGCCTTTATGCACTGTGCCATGTGTCCGTGCATGAATTTCTGGGTATTATAAACTTAATTGCAATATGAACACTGTTAAAAAATGGTTGCTGAAGACACTAGGTTTATAATACCCAGAAATTCACAAACAGACGTCCTCAAGGAGGTATGGCACAGTGGATAAAGGAGTTAGATAGATCCAATGGCAGGACCCAAAGTGTGTGAGTTCAATATCTGGTTAAGGTAGTGGAGAATTTGGCGAAAGAAATTAACAGGAGATAACTCACACCGATTAGACATGGCACGTGGAACTAGAACTGTCTACCCTAGCGAGAGAAATAAAGGGTTCAGTTCGACATTCCAACCACTTGAAAAAGGCCGGAGCCTTTAATGTGATAAATATGGCAACAAATATGAAGTCAATAATCTGTAATAATGTAAATAGCGTACATAATACCACATCTCAGAAATATAGACGGATACAGATAGATATATGCATAAATATATAGATAGATAAGAATACATGGCATATTATGTGATGCAGGCCTTTTGTACTATTGAGTTCTGTGAAATCTGAATTTCGAATAGCGGAAGATGTAAGCGAATTATTAATAAATATTATTTAAAAAACAAAGAATAGATCACTGAATTGTTTTTTTGATATCGCTCCTTCTATATGGCAATGGATGCCGGACAATCTTCTCACAGATTAAGGAGAGATTTGAGACAAAAAAAATGTGCTTCTATAGAAGGATGCTGAAAATACCATTCCCTGAACTCGTGAGCAACGACGATGCTGTAAAGAAAAGGGTAATTCACTGGTCATATTGAAGGCAAGAGGAACAGGGGAATCCAACGCATACCCTACCTCAAGAGATTGGCAGAATATTTTTTTTTGTGTGACTATGACTGCCAGTGCCCCGAACATGCATGACACATAAAGTGTAAGAAAGGGTACTTCGATATGGTGTAATCTAATAGCCTGTCTTGCTCGGTTAATTACAATTGAATAGTGACTTCGATCCTAACTGGCTGTCCCATGACTTCGATCCTCACTGGCTGTCCCATAACTTTGGCCTTGTGCCACATCTAAGCTACGCTTACAAAAAACATCTTTGGACACCTCGATGTAGTGTAATAGTCAGCTATATTTTCTCGAGAGAACAATTACAACTGTGTAGCGAGTTTTATCCTCAGTGCCCCATAATTACGGCCTTGTGCCACATTCACGCTACGCTTAGAAAATTTGAATAAACAGAAAGAATTATATAGCATATTCAAGTCTGCTGAAATAATTTCTACAAATTGTCTTATGTTAAACGTATTGTATTAAGAGAGCAGGTTAAAACAGTCCAGATAATTTGGTACATGTCCAGTTCTTTTGGTAGGCACTTGCTTAAAAAAAACAATTACAGACAAGATGAACAGATTTTATTAATAGGCATACGATACTTTATAGTTTAGTTATGTCTGTGTATGTAAACACAGAATTTTATTCAATTGCAGTGAGATTAAATTTTACTTATATGTTTAAGTGTTTCTACTCGATAATTTCATATAATTTATTTATATTAATTTTGGGAAAAAAATTGTACACAGCTGTAGAATAACAATAATAAAAAGCACGTACCGGCGTAAGAATTCCAACTAGCGTCCAGCTGGCAGACAAAAATAAAGCAGGTTGTAACTTAATACATATCCTGCAAACTGAGAAATCATGCTAGTATTTATATAGTAATACTTCCACTCAGGTACCAGCAGCCAATCACAGCCCAAGCAATGGACTATCCCACTTTAGCATAATGAGATGCTCCATTGCACCATAAATAGCTCTGTCTCTATGTTGAATTAGTATTCACTCAGCTTGCTCCACAACTGAGTGGTTATCTTGACTACGTGATTGTTCGACATGGCGCTGCGAACAGGATCTATGACACCTGAAAATTGGGAACTCTTCTTCATTGAAGCAGGCATATCCACCGACTCGGCCAAAACTCATGCAACAAGGTTTGCGGACGAGAAGCTGACAATCGAGAGCCTTCAAATGCTGGATCGATCTATGCTTAAGGAGCTGGGAGTCACATTAATGGGAGAAGCCCTGTGTATCATTAAAGCAGGCTAAGGAATCCACCACCCAGACAACCCGCATTCAGGCACTAGCAGCCAAGCCTCCTCATCTCAATCTCGAGATGACACCACAGCAATTCAGGAAGTTCCGAATTGACTGGGATGTCTTTACCAAGATGACAAATATGCCAAACTCCCAAGCTAATATTCACCTATACAATTGTGCTGATGAGGCTGTGCAAAATGCCATAATCAACACACACCCTGACTTCTTTACCACTGATCCTGATAATCTACTTGACATGGTAGAAGTGTTGGTCACCCAGAGGTCAAGTCCTATTGTCCATCGCCTTGCTTTTGCCTCCATGTCTCAGGATGCTGATGAGCCAATACAAAGTTACCTTGTCCGCCTCAGAGCCGTAGCCGTTGATTGTAACTTTACCTGCCCCACATTGTTCCATTTTCGCCAAAACCGGATCCCAGACAAATTAAGAATATCCCCAGAAATCACAGCACTAGGATGACAATCTTTCCTGACAGTGGGGCCACCATATGTCTCGGGGGACTTAAGCACCTTCTGAATATGGGGCTCACTATCGAAAACCTCATTCCATCAAGAAAAGTCGTCCGAGCTGTGGGAGGCTTTACGCTTGTATGTCAGGGTTGGCTCCCCGTGGAATTCATCGTCCAAGGAAGAACAACTAAACAAGCCCTATACATATGCAAAAAGATTCAGCGGCTATACTTCAGCAAAGCAGCCTGCATTGATGTAGAGATACTGTCCAAAGACTTCCTGAAGCCAACAACTACAATATTACCCCAAACAACAATGCAACACATGCCCTCGACAAGCACACATAAAAAAATCGGACGTGAGCCCTAAACAATGCAAAAGTCGAGGGACAACTTCCAACACGCCCCAAAAACTCCCTTTTCTTCCAACAGAACAAAACATTGATAAGCTCAAGAATTGGCTATTAAATCAATTTGCCGAAACGGCGTTCAAGAACAATGGTGAATTCCACCGATGTCTGGCCCCACTGCACATATACACCTCAAAGAAGGAGCAGTCCCCAAAGCAAGACATAACCCAATTCCTGTGCCTTTTCACTTCAAAGAGCCCGTAAGACAGGCCCTTTGGGAAGATGTGAAAAGGGGTATCATAACCCCAGTACCCGTTGGCATGCCCGCTGATTGGTGTAGCACTATGGTAATTACCGCAAAAAAATGGCAAACCACGAAGAACCATAGACTACCAACACCTGAATTCACAGTGCAAACGGGAAACACACCATACAGGGTCACCATTCCAGCTAGCACTACAAGTGCCACCTAAACAAAAAAAAAACAGTGTTGGATGCTGTTGATGGATATCATTCCATCCCCTTAGATAAAGAGTCCCAGCCACTCACCACCTTCATCACAGAATGGGGAAGGTTCATGTACCTGAGAATGCCACAAGGTTACCTAGCATCTGGCGATGCCTACACCCGAAGATACGATGAAGTAATAAAAGACATCCCCGCAAAGTAAAAATCGTGGATGAAACCCTACTCTATGACTCTGACATCGAAGGGCCTTTTTCACACCTTCGATTTTCTCCTCCATTGTGCAAAAAAACGGCATCGTAATAAATAGAGAAAAATTCCAATTTTGCCAAGACACGGTGCAGTTTGGGGGCCTCAAATAACATCTTCTGGTGTAACCCTTCTAAATCCATGCTGGAGGCAATATTGAGCTTCCCAATACCAAAGACACTCACCGATGCCAGATCATGGTTTGGGCTGTTCAACCAAGTCGCTTGGGCATATTCACTAAGCCCAGTCATGCTTCCATTTCGTGATCTCGTAAAACGAGACTCACACTTTACATAGAATAAAAGCCTGGAGGATGCATTCCAGCAGTCAAAGAAGGTCATAGTTGACTTAGTCCGAAAAGGCATCGCAACATTTCAAAAGAAAGAATAACCTGCCTTGCCCCAGATTGGAGCAAAGACGGAATGGGCTTCCCTACTTCTGCAGAAGTATTGCTCATGCACCACTGACAAAGCCCCAGTTTGCTGCCCTGAAGGTTGGCGCCTGATATTTGCTGGTAGCAGATTCTGCATTGATGCTGAACGCAGATATGCACCTATTGAAGGCGAAGCAGCAGCAATTGCATGGGCATTGGAAAAATGTCGGATTTTTTTGTAATGGGTTGCCTGAATCTCATAGTGGTTACAGATCATGAACCACTAAAAAGGATTATTCGGAGATAGAGACCTTAGTAAAAATCCAAACCCCCGATTATTCAGGTTAAAGGAGAAAACCCTCAGGTACAGATTCACCATTCAGCACTGCCCTGGGAAATGGCACAGAGCCTCCGATGCTGTCTCTCGTAACCCAGCAGACATCTCACAGGCACTCCTAAATGTATTCACTGCTGAACCCTCTCAATCAGACATCATAGAGTCTGACAACATGGATGACTGGGTCAAATCAAAAACCTTATTAGCAACATTCGGTGCAAATGACAACCTGGAGCTCATCTCAGCAGACGTTATCCGTACGGCGGGACGCAGTGACCCGCAATACAAAAAATTAATAGAAGTAATACAAAACGGATTCCAAAGAACACGCATCCTCACTGCACCTGAAATCCGCGAATATTGGGAAGTGAGGCACCGCCTAAGTGTTGACGACGGGTTAGTGCTCTTAGATCAAAGAATTGTTATCCCCACCTCACAACGCACAAAAATATTACATAGCCTACATTCTGCACATCAAGGCGAAGTTGGCATGAAGGCACGTGCCAATGAATCTGTTTATTGGCCCGGGATGAATGCTTCAATTCGTAATATTAGAGCAGGTTGTACGTTCTGCTCAAAAATTGCCCCGAGTCAACCAAAAGAGCCAATCAATTTGACACCATCTCCTGATTGGCCATTTCAGCAAATCGTCATGGACATCTTCCATGTTGGAAACCATGGTTACTTAGCATGCGCTGACAGATTAACGGGCTGGCTGAATCTATACCACTTGAGCCACGGAGAAGCTAATGCCTCAAGGATTATTTCGATTTGCCGAGACATATTTCAAACCTACGGCGCTCCTGAGGAACTCAGCAGTGATGGTGGGCCACCCTTCACATCTCTTCCATTCAAGCAATTTTTTGCAAGACTGGGCTGTTAAACAAAGGTTATCATCTGCTGGTTACCCACAATCCAATGGTCGAGCAGAGCTCGCTGTCAAAACAGCCAAGAGAATCGTAAATGGCAACACAGGAGCCCAAGGATCATTGGATAATAACCGTGCAGCAAGAGCCATCCTCCAATACAGGAATACGCCCATTCAAAACATTGGGCTATCCCCTGCTCAACTACTACTCCACCGCCGACTACGTGACTACATACCATCCCACCCAACACTCTATAAGCCACACGCGAATTGGATAACCGCAGCACAAAATCGTGAGATAAGTTTGT